CAAAAGCAGGAAATGTCTGAGGAGGGCAAAGAAGCTGAAGCTGAGCCTTCCCAATCCTCCTGCCCTGTGTATGATGAGCTTTTGGAAATTATGGATCGCGCTTTACTTGCCGTGAAGCGGGTGAAGAAAGGTGACATCGCGAAATATCTCTATGAACGTTATTTTTCTGGCCATAACCCTCCAGCTCAGGTGAGCCTTCCTTTCTTCCTGTTTTCCATATAAAGATTGAGAAGGAATGGAAGAGGCCGTTTTTTCCTCATGCATCCATCGATTCCAGCATACGAGTTATGCCAACTTCGAGGCGATGCATGAAAGCGGTTATGAGAAGATGCCCCTATAGAGTGACGCTGGCCAACTATCTCTCTGTGGGTGAGACGTCCTCTAAGACTCCCCTCCTTGACATCTCGCTCGGATGCCAGGGCATACGCAGCAGCAGCAGGTCGGGCTGTCGCTTCATTGCACACGATGGTGATGCTCCAAGCATAGCAGGCTGACCTGCTGAAAGACCGGGATAGCGGCCTTCACGAAGTCCAGGTCTGAGCCCGAACAACCCAAGGGTCCTAGCCCGTCTCGGTTTGAGGATCAGAGACCGGCTCAGAAGGCTAGTGTCGCGGCTCACGCTCCTCCCCCGCCCACGGGTAGGGGTAGGAAGAATCGCGGGTCAAAGGAAGGTAAGTAAAAGACCTAAGGGATGTGATCTAGACAGGGCGTCAGAGCTTTTGTCCAGATCAGAGTGATACCTGAGTATCTACTCATTTCCTTCGGGGGTCTTACATCTGCCCTTATCTTCACCTTCCTAATTCCCCTGTAACCACCATCTCTCCACCTGACTGAGGTTAGGTGGGAAATTTCCTGCATTATAGTCTCCTATGCTGGACCTATTAGGTTTGGTTGGTTCTATGGCTTCATAGTGACCATCTTACTGATGGTCCGGTCTAGAGGCTTCTTCGGACAGAGCTCCGACGCGGGAACCATGGTGGGTGAGTACGATCCATGTCTAAATATATGTATATATAAATATATATATGTGTGTAGAGAGAGAGAGAGAAACTCAAAACCTTCTACAGCAGATATCTATAAAGAGCTATCAACAATAAAAAGGTACTGCATTAATGTACCATGGCAACAAGGTAGCCTACTTTCTTTTTTCATCAACATGACAGTACATTTTTGTTCACCGATATCTCACAGAAACCAAAACATACTCCAGAAACCACATATACACAGTTTTATACCTCTTATGTCCATTGTGATGTCTATGACTCAGAGGTTTTGTATTGTTAATGCGCTAACATTTGCTAATGGAGTAACATAATTCGAGATACTAAAAAACAAGTCTTATTTTCATACACAATATTGATTCTGAAGTAAATGGATCATGTTTTAAGGATGTTTAGATATTTTTAATGGAAAAGACCAAAATACAGATTAATACAGTTATTTTGGGAGTGAAGGTATTAACAATCGCAATGGCTAATGGCTTGGGCAGACATCCAGATATTTAGCATTACTGTCCACACATTTGTGAACATTATTAATATGATTATTCAGACAAATAGTAACTTGTGAAAGACTTAATGATGGTATTGTTTTCTCAGTGTGGGAATGAGCACAACGAGGGTTGAAATATGTTTCCCAGAAGTCCATGATCAATATGGGTGTGTACATTTCGATTCAAGACACACAGAAGGCCGAGAGGTCTGCCGAATGAATCAGCTTCATGCACAGACCCACTTAAAGTTGTAAGCAAGGCGAGCAAAAATGGAAAGCCCTGAAATGCATTTTTATTGCTATTAACGGCTCTGCTGATACGAGAAAATTCAAATTGTCAGACTAAAAGCAGTTGAAAACATTGAAAACAGTCTCAGTCTCTTTCCTGACATATATACGGCGATAAAAACTCACTTTAGAAAACAACTGAAATGAAATTCTCTCTGAAGTTATGAGTCAGCTACTGAAAATTAAACGTTTACTGTGGTAAATATATCAGACGTGTTAGAGCTAAAGGTGTAATCTTTCTCAGACAAGTCTTGAGGATGACACCAGAGCTGACAATGACAACTTAATTTCCTTTCGGCTATCACACTAACACTGCCGTCACAGTGCTGTCATTCAACCCACTTTGGTCAATGTTCTCTAATAGGACTGTCTAAATGTCAGCCTCAGCTCTACTGCTCTTAAGCAATGCAAACGGATGTGAGAAGCCCATTTTTTCCCCCACACAGGTTTTAAGTTATGCTGAGATTTCACAGGAATGCCTTTTCCCAAGCAAAGCCTGCACTCTTTACTCGCTTGGGAACAATTTACTGAGGGAACACCCAGTAAAATCCTAACTGTGCTTTCCTTTTAAAGATTTATTGTTTGTGCTGTTCAGATCTGTTAAAAATAAATGTGTAGTTTTAGCATGAATTTCCAAAGGAAGCTCATAAACCTATTTGAAAATGTGTGTCTCAGCAGATTATAGAAGGAACAACAAAGGGGTAATACAAACAAGTACATTCTTACATTTTCTTAAAGAATGAAAAATGTTATACACCAACTTTTGATACTTACATTGGGTCTGTTGAAATCTCTAACACTAAGTCTGAGTTGTTGTAATAAGAACCAAATCAGTGCTGGGGAGTAGTTAAATACAAGTAGTGATGCTACTAGATTAATTACATTTTTCAGTAGCTTGACAGTAGAGATGTAACTTTTAAAATATTTTTTTCATATTTTTTCAACTAGCAGTGTAGTGACATGAAATGCTACATCACTTTGCTTAAAATATGAGTAGGATCAGTAAGATCTCAGCACATTTTCTTTTAGAATCATCATTAGTCCATTATACATTGTACATGTTTCATAGCACAATATAAAATATAACTATTTCTATGCTTTTTCAAAAATGTATGCATTTCTAGATATAACCAGTCAGCCAACAACTGTCAGTCCAAAGTTGTACTCACTCGCTTTCCAGGGGGTCCTGGAGGACCAGCTTCACCAGATGGACCAGGTGGACCCTGTGGTGTAAAAATTCAATGCATTACTCCCAAGTTTCATTATGTTTGAACAAAAAATATGATTTTCAGTGAGAGTCGACCATCACTCACAGGCTGACCGGCCTCTCCATCATCTCCCTTGTCTCCAGGAAGGCCATCCAGTCCCTTTGTGAAACAGGACATTACATCACAACTTTCATTTCCATCAAACATCATATTAGAGTTTCCTCACAACATTTGCTTAATATGCTCTTGGACATTAAAGCTGTAACTAATAACTATTTTGAGGACATGTTGATTATTTGTATGATTGATATCCCACATCTTGCACAATGCTTTTATTCAAACAATGTGCATTGAAGCCTATAACATATGCTAAACATTGTGGACAAAAAAAGGTTGCTTGAGTGGAAACCTGAGCACATGAAACTAGATGTGTTTTTAACATGTTTATGTATAAAGTGCTTTGGAAAGAGCTGCACACATTTTTCCTCACTCTATCACTTCCAGTATTTTAAAATGCATTTGTTCTCCACAGAAAATAGTTATTTTACTGCTGCAAAGCGAATACACTCTTGTGTTTGAATGTCTCCATATTGAACTTACAGCAGTTCCGGCCTCACCAGGAGGACCTGGATCTCCAGGGAAGCCAATAGGACCCTAAATTACAAAAAAAATGATGGATCAATTCAGTCATCATATTGTATTATTTCTGTGTAATAGATGAAGGGTGCTTCTGGGATGTCATTGATGGAGACTTACTGGGTTTCCTTTGGGACCGTCATCTCCAGGGGGTCCTCTTGCACCAGCGGGTCCTGCAGCTCCAGGAGGGCCAGCTTCTCCTTTCTCTCCAAGCTCACCTTTGGGTCCCTATAGAAGGACACAACAAACACCCTTTGAATGACAAAATATGTAATTCAAAGGTGATGCTATGCTGTTTTCAAGCCCAAGAGGGAGAATAACTGTAAATGTTGGCTATAAAGAGATTATAACGGTTACTTATTGCTTAGTTCCTCAGTAATTTAATTACTGAATTTGATCTGAGGTAGCCAACAGGGTGAAATGCAATTCAAATTTTGAATTTAAGGAAGTAGTATTAAAATGAACTGAAATTCCCGTTACTGCAACAAGTATAACATAATAAGTGTATAGAAGCATTTCTAAAACTAACTTTGAATATGGCCTTAAACTCTTAACGCAAGCAGAAATCTACTATCCTATTTAGTATCAAAAAGCATTGAGACCAACAGACAAACATCAGCATTTAAGATGCTGATATCACATAAACAGGTTTGTGCAGCAGGCAGTGGTTGAAATAATGTCCCTGGGTGAAAAAGGATGATGATAACAGCAACCATCTAGAATGCAAGTGATGTTCACCTCAGCATATATGAGCTAGAGGAAAATATTCACATGGCATTCTAAAGCAGAGTGAGGTCAAATTAATCCACCGCAAAGGACTGTAGCCTTAACACCTTAAAGGTCATTAGCTTAATGTGTTCTAAGTTAAAAACAAAGATTTGTGTAGTTATGCTCCTTGAATGTCAATAGATTAGCCTCAATTACATGCAGGTTAGACACGTCTAGTAAACACTTAGAAAATCAGACTCAACAACTCTTAAACAAATACTTACTACTGTACCAGGCTCTCCTGGTGGTCCTGGATTACCTGCCTCACCGGTCTCACCCTGAGGGGAAGAGATGAAGGGAAACAAGTTCAGTTCTGCTTCTTCTTTATTACATGTGACATCTATGCACATTCACCATAATAATTGTAACACACATTTATTTATATTCATATTTTTAAAGGGGGCATTGGATGCCCATTTTCCACAAGTTGGTATGATTTTTTAGGGTCTTCATGAAATGTCTGCAACAAACTTTGCTTAAAGTTCCTCAATGGTTGTGTAAAACAACACCCTTTTTACATCGTCAAAAACATCTCTGATCACAGCAACCCGTTTTGGTGTATGTCTCTTTAAATGATAATGAGCTACTGCTCACCCCGCCCCTCTCTTATGTTTTTTTTTGTGTATTCGGTGGTGTGTTATCATCATAAACAAAACTAATCCACTGCATCCTCAGTGACTCTGATGACGGGAGAAAATGAACACACTTATGTTCACTTTTACATCCAACTACAAAACACCTGCATTGCTTAAGAGACATTGATGTCGCTACAGCTGCTCGTGCGTGGAGAAAATGGCGGTCAGCGTACAACTGGTTGAGGGCAGAAATATGCTAATACGGGACAGTCCATCAACGGTCGTGGGCCTGGCTTGATCTCTTATGTTTTTTTTTTGTGTATTCGGTGGTGTGTTATCATCATAAACAAAACTAATCCACTGCATCCTCAGTGACTCTGATGACGGGAGAAAATGAACACACTTATGTTCACTTTTACATCCAACTACAAAACACCTGCATTGCTTAAGAGACATTGATGTCGCTACAGCTGCTCGTGCGTGGAGAAAATGGCGGTCAGCGTACAACTGGTTGAGGGCAGAAATATGCTAATACGGGACAGTCCATCAACGGTCGTGGGCCTGGCTTGATAATTGAGACTGTTTAGGTTTTTTGGGGATTAAAAAAAAAGGAGTGAATGGATTTTTATCATTGTAGGGTGGCTGTGCCCACACACTGCTAAGACACATTTATGTGCAAACACCATGTAAAAGTGAATTTAGCATCCTGTCACATGATACTTCAGATTTATGTAAGAAATACCCACCTTTTCACCATTTCCACCCATTGCGCCAATACCTCCGGGAGGGCCAGGAGCACCCTGTCAATCAAATAACAACATTGATGATTCAAATCTTTCTGATTCACTAGAGTGTCTATTCAAATATGTCACAGTTAAACTCACATCTGCTCCACTAGGACCTTGAGGACCTCTGGGACCTGGAGGACCAGGTGGACCCTATAAGAAAACAACAGTTCGTCAAACAATTAAGATAGTAAACTCAGGAAGATTCAATGGACGAATCAAACCAAACGTTGGTAAATCATTATGAGCTATTTATTACAAGAATCTGCATATTTTCTTCATGGATCAGTGGCACTAGCAGTAATACTATAAAGGTGTGGTCACATTTGCCTGTGCAAAATTTCACAGGCAAAAAAGTCGACTGTCCAGTGTCAATACTGTAGCAATGCATGGAGCAGAAGTCGTAATTTTTCAAAATAAGCAGCTTTCTGTTGGTCAACATGGTAAATTTGTGTGACTTGAACATGAGTGAATTCGGCGCAGGGAGCTTTTTCACCTCACGTGAAACTCCCAGTTGTGTGAATTCCAAATGAAACGACTAAATTCCACCCACAAAATTTTAATAAGCAATGGTAAATGTGACTGCACCTTAAAACAGTTTTTATGACACTATTACATTAAAGATATATAGTACATTCAGAAACTTTTGTTGTAATTGCATTTAAATAAAGCAAGTATTCATGTTTAGTACATAGTTGAGACTAATTATGACAAAACTATAGTAAACACTGTGTTTTGACAGCAAGGATACTGCAAACTCACCATTGAGCCGACGTCTCCATTCTCTCCTTTCTCACCTGGTGGTCCTGGCAAACCCTAGAAGAAAACAAGTTTTACATATTAATCAGGCACAACTCCAGGTTACATAATCCCTGTTAGGAATTCACCCATTACAATTTCAAAAATGCTAAAACTTTCAGTAGCAAGAGAGGATACGTTAATGTTTCCTCTTCCCCCATGAGCAACATGACAATTTAGAATAACAATCAGTCTCATAGTGTTGAATATTAATATTATACATTTACAGCTCTGAGCCATCGGGTAAACACTATTAATCAAATAACAATTTTTGGTAATTAGCAGTAGAAGGAACCTCATGGCAATTAACGCATTTGCATTTGGGTGCCTGTGAATGTGTCGCACCCCGTGTCACTTTGAAAATATGAAATGCAAAAAGAGGAAAAGCTTGGCAAGCAATTCATTTTGCAATACAATTGAGCTTGACTAAAGAGGTTTGAATGTTATTCAGATCATTATCACCAAACAATACCAATAGACGTCTCTCCATTGTTCATAGTCAACATCTGTAATCACAAGCCTATTCTGGGTCATTGTATTTGGCAGACATGCTCTTTGGTACCCGCTAACACATAGCTTACCGCTTATTGTTGTGATAAATCTTGTGTTACTATAAAAGGACAGAAGTGATATTTCAAAGCCATTTTGAGGGAAATAATTTTCCCAACCGCCAAAAAGCTTGTTATATTTACAGTGAGTTTTGAAAAGATAATGAAAAGTCTCCATTCTAAGAGTCCAATGACTTCTCATTAGAAAGTTATTCAAAACTTGAGAGAAAACAAATTAAGATTGTTAATTTCTTCGGATCAAAAATCATTATCGCAGAGGATCAGTGAAAGGTACTAACAAGGTGACGCAGAGCACAAACAATTAGTGCAGTTGGGATGAATCGCTATTCCTATTACCTTTGATTACCAGGCAATTGCTCTGCGTGACTGTAATATTGCTGTGTAGAGTAACAGCCTCTGTTGCCATTTGAAAATCACTCCCTCATTATTCCCATAAAGGTGAAGTGTGTAATGTTTTTTTGATTTTATAATACTTTCTTAATACGCAGAGATAGCTACAGTATCACTAAAATATTTGGAGTTTGTAAGATTTTTTTTATGGTTTTCACCAAGGCTGTATCAATTAGACTCAAACAAATCACAGTAAAATAAAAATAAAAAATGACAGTAAAAAAAAATAATGTTTATAATTTTAAAATCAATAAAAACTTTCTTTTAAAATTCAAAATGGTGGTGATGGTGAAGCTGAATTTTCAGCATCATTACTCCAGTCTTCAGTGTCACATGATACTTCAGAAATCATTCTAATATGCTGATTCGGTGCTCAAGAAACATTTCGTATTAAGATCAATGCTAAAAAATTAACATCACTTAATATTTTTATGGACCCATGATACTTTTTTTCTGGATTCTTTGATGAATGGAAAGTTCAAAAGAACAGCTTTAATTTAAAATATAAATAATTTGTAACATTATAAATGTCTTTACTGTAATGCATCCTTGCTGAATAAACGTAATTCAATCTTCTGACCCCAAACTTTTGATTGGTAGTGTATAAGTAAACATTTCGTAAGCTGATTTCTCTGAAAAGTCTTTTCACGTTTCAATGTTTGCAACAACGGCTCAGCTTGTGACTTGAACTTGGGAAGTTGGAGTGGGACTCTGTTTTGTTGACTAATGGCAGACAGGAAGTGTTCAAAGAATCCTTTTGAGAAGCAATAATTATTTTTGCAAATCCAATTGGTGGCGCTAGTGGCACAAAAATTACAATTCACCTTAACAATGTCAAGTAAACTGAAAGTGATGGAATCAATCAGCCATGTTTAGAGCAACATAATTGAATCCAGATTTGAAAAATGGCTCTGCTTGCTCAATTATCCTGCCTCACAGTCTTAGATGATATCAAACAGTGGGGCTTTGTGTAAATTAAATACTATGCAAGCAGCAGATCCATAATAGACGTGTTTAGATTAGTGTAAAGATGATAACTCTACCTGCAGTCCAACGGGACCGGGAAGACCTGGAAAACCACGGGGCCCCTCATCTCCCTTCTGCCCAAACATACCCTGCTGACCCCTGGGTCCGGCCTCTCCGTCACTTCCCTACACAAGAAAAAAACTTCAGATATACGATAACACACTGACGCTTAACATCTGAAACTGTTACAAACTCTGAACATGATGGTGGAGAAGTACAGTACAACACTCTCTGTAGCCTACATGTAAAGTCAACTTGCTGACCCCAGAATGTCTTACATACTCTACTGTATGGCGCAGACAAGCATGAAAATGAGATCTACCCCTGAGACGTCAAAAGTCAAGTTTGAAAAGATCTGCCATTCAGAGGAACGCCCAGAGGAATTATTGAGGGTGAGAATGTGCTGCCCTCATCTCTGACTCTGCTTGCTCTACAGGGTCAGTGGAAGGGGAAAGGAGGGGCTCAGCACAGTTCAAACAAATGCAGAAAGATAATAAAGTGATGTGAGGTAACAGTGCTGCCTGTGAGAAGAACATGCCTGAATGGCAGGTCACTGCAGGATATGATGGAGTGTTTGTATTGAAGACTATGAGGGAATGCAGTATTGACTGACATACAGGACAGACTTCACCATGATGGTAACAAGCATTATTAATCATGAAAAAATATCAAATGTATTAATGTATTTATTAAATATTGATTATGTTGGTTTAAAAGCACAATATGTACGATTTTCGTAATAACATATCCAAAAACCATTATTTTTACACATTTTTACAGTATTGCGCATTATAACCAATCACACACGAGTCTGTTGAGCTTATGAATGCAATGGCCAATCAGAGGTGTTCAGATGAGTCATCACTGAAACGCCGGAGATTCAGTGCGCGCTTGCTGACTGAATTCTGCTCTCTCACGAATTCTCTCATCAAAAACAACAAAGTGCAGATGTATTCACTGTTTGATGCATTCATCAAACAGTGTACTGCTTTACTGATTATAAGGGGAGATTTTTTGAGAGTGCTTAAACTCGCGCTAGACTGAAGTCAGTCATCTACTGTTCCTTGACAATGTAAATGTTCTTTGCTCGCTTTCTCTGTATAATTTATTCACTGTTTGAATAACTTTGAAAGGTACAGGCAATAAAAAATGTAATCATTACATCCGTGAACATGATTCAGACATTTCTGGATGGCGAAAATGACATCTCCCATCGTTCCACTCTCCTTCATAGCGTCATCAAGCTTCGCCTTTGTCATTGTTTTGAAAATGCGACCTCTAGCAGCTCAGTTACATATTGTGCCTTTAACATGTTCATTTAATATACTTAACATAGTAAAAAAACAGCTCACAATACACAATGTCTATTCAATGTTAACTCGACTGCCTTAATGCTTTTGAATCATTATTATTATGGGGGCTCTCTCAATTACTGATGTAAATGCCCAATTCATTTAATTAATTCAATGCAACCAATTCAATTAGTTAATCAGCAAATCATGTACAGGCATGCAATCAGTGAAGGACAAAAAAAAGAAGGAAAACCGGACACACCATAAATTTTCTAACAATAAATAAATAAATTAAATAAAAATACAATTAACAATAATAACTATTTTACAGAACAACAGTAAAAGTACACTACTAATAGTCTTAATTTCTTTGCTTTCAAATTTAAAATCATAGAGCTTTTATTTTAGTGGAAAACAGGGAGACCTAAAAGCAAACGATTCTTATTACAAATCTGTGAATATTTTCGACATGTGTTGCGTTTTCAAATGCATGTTACAGTATAAGGCCGTTTTGTGTTTCATATGGGGAAAAAAAACTGTATTTTTTCTGGAAATCACATCCTTGCATTTAATTATTCTGATTACATTTTTTTAATAAAGTGACAATCCTAATAATGTATGCATATAAATAAGGAAGGTTCAGACAAATATTGCTTATATTTAAGCGACTAAGATCTTTTAAGCAGCATTAACATCAAGTCATCTTATAGATTTAACATCTCACACGTTTCCAAATTTGTAATATCCTATTCAGTAGAAAAGCTGCATAGTTTCCAAGAATGTTCTTCACATAACTGCACAGAATAGGTGTAATTATCAGCTTTTATAGAGCTAATGTATCAAGGAAACAGAGAGGCCCAGCTGGGAGTGTTCAGCTTGAGTCATAAACTTTAAATATTCGACTGTGTGCCACCTGGCCCTGACTACTTACTCTCATTGCTGCTTTATCAACTCAGCAGGCTGCCTGACAGATGCAAAACTGAGCAAATGCGAGTAGTTATTCATTTAACAGACACTTTTATCCAAAGCAACTTATAGTGCACTTATTACAAGGATAATCCCCTTGAAGCAATGTGGACCAGGGTTAAACAATCAGGATGACCCAATGTGAGAAAATGTCGTCCAGTTGACGTAACTGTCACTTTCAGGCCAGTAGTTACAATGTTCTAATCATTTGGCCACATGCAATTGTTTTTATGCCTTGCATACATAACATATTCCTTTAAACATTGTTTCATTCACCCCTTGAAGGTTAATTCATCACCCCTTGCAAGATTCAAACCTTCATCCTTTTAGCTAACAGCCCAGATCATTAACCACTAGGCCCCAGCACCTCTGCGTAAATAGAAACAATCAAGTTAGGCTAAGGACGCTTGAGCAGTGAAAATACTTTGTGTGAAATCCCTGCAGTAATGAAGATAATATATTTGCGTGACAACAATTCCAGGATGAATGGAAAAAAAAAGAGGTGATCATTTGGGTTTCATCCTATATGGCTCAAATGGAAGGTTGTAAGTACTCACAGCAGGACCTGGAGCTCCAATTACACCCTGAGGGCCTACTGGACCTGGTGGACCCTACAGCAACAGACAATCAGGACAACTTTAGGGACTGGTTGTGAAGAAGCTAGATCTCATATGAACGTTTGAAGTGCCAAAGATAATATTTGTGTAAAAATAGGTATAATAAATGTAAAGCTAAAAGCAAAAAAAGGTAAACAAATATTTATAAATAATAGTATTATTATTATAATATTAATATTATAAATAAAACAAATTTATTTTCACTTTGCAATAAGGTTCAGTTTAGTTAACATACATTAGTGAACATGAACTAACAATGAAAAATTATTTTAGATAATTTATTAATCTTGGACATTTCAACATTTACTAATACATTATTAAAACCAAAAGTTTATTTTTTTTTCTGTTAATATTATTTAATGGACCTGAGCTAACTTGAACTAATTATGAACAGTTGTATTTTTATTAAAGTTAACAAAGATTGATAAATACTGTAACAAATGTATTACTCATTATTATTTAACATTAAAGTCAAAGTTAACTTCATTTTTAGCACACTGCATGACAATGGATAAAAATGAAACAGCTCCCTCAGGAAACAGTGACACATGCAATAGACAGTCTTGAGGACTAAAACACAACAGTAAATATGGACAATAAATACAGACACAGAGTAAATACAGTAGGTAATACAGTATATACATAAGGTGTCGCAAAAGTGGGATATAACTGATTTCTGAGATAATGCATTAAAAAAATTAGGAACTTATTATAAAGTGTTACCAAATAAATAGAATTACTATTTTGAATGTTTAATTTATAATAAAATATTAAACATATAAATACAAATATTTTGTAGAAATTGTTTGAATACTGTTTAACTCACATGTTCGCCTTTGTCGCCCTTGCTTCCCTTTTGACCCGGTTCTCCAACTTCTCCCTGGGGAAAAAAAATCAAGTAACTTCATGCTCTGTTTACAACTTTTCCCTGGTTGCCTGGTCATCAAAAATTTCTCAAGGTCACTTCAGCATCAACAGCAGAGTAAACTTTACTCCAGAGGTTTTAATTTAACAGTAAAACCAAGACCTTTGGATGTTTTTGCAATTAATTGATTACTTGGCCCCTCAAACACCATTGCCGCCACAGCCGAAAAGAATAATGTGGCTTGAGACGTGATAAGGATCTAAAATAGCACTATTCTACATTGAACAGGGCAATAATAGATTCTGGAATACATTAGCCTCAAAGCACGTTTGTTTACTTTGTTTATGAGCATGTGTGCAGAAGTGTGTGTACACCTCGATTTCACTGGTTTCAACATTTCTCTATAGTAATGATTTTGTGTCTTGTTTGGTTATAGTGATGGATAAATCAGAACTCTGTTTGCATTGTCATTAATGGTGTGCAGATGTGAGACGAGCATGATGACTATGGATTAAAATGTCATGCTGAAGCATTTGGAATAAAATGCTGCACCTTGTCACCATCCTCTCCAGGTGGACCCTGAGGTCCGGCTGGGCCTGGGAGTCCGACTGGACCTTGGATGCCATCCCGACCGGCAGGACCAGAAGGTCCTTTTTCACCCTGCATGAAGTTAAGAAATGACATTTTATAATCACGTCTGAAAGTGCAGATTAAGAAACTGCTATGACCTCTATGCATTACATCCTATGAGGATTACTTTAATCCAGTTAATACCGGCAGTCTAAGCAAACAAGGCTAATAGCAGATCCACTGCAATTAATTAACAGCATTTATACACAATGCAGAGGAATATGTCCAGTAATTATTATAACCTTTCAGGCAACTAATTGATTTCAGCTTTAACTGTGTGCTGTAAAAGTCTGAATTAACTGAATTAAGTTTCTGTTTGGATGCTGCATTAAACTGGCTAAGCTATATGTGGTAAATGTGCTTATTGAAAAGATTAATTTTAATGAACCAAAACTCTTTCCCTCTGGCCACCATTGTTTTCCACATTCATCTTTTGACATTAGTGCATCGCTTACTGTATCGCTGCATCTGACAGAAGCACAGTTGCTATTTTACTTTCTTTAGGGTGAATTCAGGTAAATTAGGCCTCATTTTGCTATTCATCTCAACAAAAAGTGGCACAATTTCTTATTTTTATTCAATTTGACAATGTACAAGCTAACATTGGCATTTTTTAAATCTCCAAACAATGCACACTCACCGGAGCACCCTTCTCCCCAGCAGGTCCCGGGGGTCCCTGAGGTCCATTACGTCCTGTTAGACCAATGGGTCCTCCTGGTCCAGCTGCCCCTCTCTCTCCTGGTGACCCCTGTGACACACATATCCCATTAAATCTGACTGGAACACAGCTGAATTCCAGGAGAGATTATTAACCGAATTAGATAATTCAGTTTTAAAAGAAAGCAAGTCTTGATTTTACATATTTTTTTGCATATCCAAATTAACAATTTTCCGCAAAAAGTCTCACTAACAAACATTTGTTTGCAACAACAATTGCTCTTCTGTCGGGTGTGTTGCTTCCAGACTTCCTTTTTTTTTTTTTTCTTACAAATCAATTGCCTTTTTTTTTTGTCTGGACAAACATTTACAGTCATTTATGACTACTGTGCATAGAGATATGTATTATAGTTGTATTATAGTGTCTGGACAAATTTTCATTTGTATGTCATGCAACAATCTTTTCAATGAATATAATAAATACATATACTTTCAAATATAAATATGTATTTTATTTTATCTATTTAATACCTAGTTAATTAAATATTTTAGAAATAAACATTACATTTAAAGTTCCATGACTTTTCCAGGCCAGTTTCAAATATCACTGACATTTCCAGGTGCTCCATGTCTGTGGGAACCGTGTTATTCAGTAGCTTGTTTTGGCTCTAAGGAACGTGTTCTCATACAGATCCTTTGCTGAACTGAACAACACTAAGGCACATTTGTGTATCAAATTAAATACATTTCTTTCTTACAGTGTATCAGTAGGTCTTACTGACAGACAAAAGTTTATGAGAGAGCGAGCTCTCTGGTTCAAAACCAACACATTTTTTCAGAAACAGTCCATTAGAGCATCTATTAGCATTGAATGGTTAGCACTGAAGAGAGCTCTCAGAGAGAGGGCTTTATTCACCGTTTACTTAAAGACATCCGGTTGCTTTCACATGCATGCACATATGCACATAAACACATGCTGAAACTCACAACCTCATCCGACTGCATTAGCCAGCAGTGTTAAAGGGGTCATATGATGCGATTTCAATTTTTCCTTTCTCTTTGGAGTGTTACAAGCTCTTGGTGCATAACGAAGATCTGTAAAGTTGCAAAGACTAAAATCTCAAATCCAAAGAGATATTCTTTATCAAAGTTAAGAGTCAACCACGCCTACCTAAAATGGCTCGTTCTAACACGCCCCCACATGTCTACATCACTATGTGGGAAGATTTGCATAACGCCACCCAAATGTTCACTCAAAGAAAGAAGGCGTAACTTTTATTCTCGCTGTAGTATTTTTGTTGCCGCCACTGCCATGTCGTGAAGGCACTGTGTGTTTCGTTGTGAAAGTGAAACTACTTTGTTTGGCCTTCCAAAAGAGGACGATATCTGCTCTGTCATGCCTGGAGCTGATCGGTGCTGGTTGCTGAGGAAATACTACAACTTTGCGCTGTGGATGGCCGGATCGGCTTTCACTGTGGACGAAGCAGAGTCCAGCCCAGGTTCGTCACATGTTGTTGCCGCAAGCCTGCCGGACGCTCCTTCGTCAAATCCGCCGCCGCTGCTCACTCTAGCCCTCCGGCCGTTCCTCACTTTATCCCCCGGCCTCTGTTCACTCTAAGGCCGCCGCCGCTCTATCTAGGCCGCCGTGTGTGAAGCTGTGTTTCGGTGTGAAAGCGAAACTACTTTGTTTGGTCTTCCAAAAATGGACACGACTAGAAATCAGTGGTTAAGTTGTATTTACAACACTGTTCCAGAACAGTGTTCAGATGTGTGCAGCACATTTTATGGAGGACCGTTTCCTGATCGTGGTAGAGTAGACTACAATGCCGGCTGTTCTGACTCA